TTCCTGTTCTAGGTACAAAAAAAAAAAAAAAAAAATCAGCCACCGCTCCCATGACCCATCCGGGCCAACCCGGGACCGGCCTCTTTGACTAGGGCCGGTCGGCCGGCCGGGCGTGCGGGGCGCCGGCCCTACAAGTCGACGGCTCGCACGCCCGGCCGGTGGATAGGGGGCGCCGCCCGCGATACCCCTTCGCCGGGCGGCGCGGGCGCGTAATTCTTTTTTCCACCCAAAGGAAGGCGCTATACGGAGAATATCCCATTGCGTCATTGAAAAGTGACTTACACCTCTCACCGGCCAGCTGGCTGCGTGGTGTAGTGATGAGCGCACTCGCCTCGTGATCTAATAGGGGCATTCCACGTCAAATCAAACACCGAAATCCGTCATCCCCTTCGATTTTTCTGAAAATTTGTAGGCAGACTGGGCATGGTTCAAAACTGAGTTACGTATAATATTTTCGAAATTTGATAACGTATCGCTGAGATATAGGTCATCGAATATAGCGAAAAATGTCACACATCAATTTTTTAAATGGCTATAACTCTGATTCCTTTTCTGGTATCAAAATGATATTAACAGGGTCTTATAGGCAATTGATAAGGCTTTGATTTTTAATTATAAAATTAAATTGAAGTGACCTTGAAATGCATTTGACCTTGAATTAAAACAGAAAAATTTAAATAGCAAAAAACACGTCACCTTCGATTTGGGTAATTTTTACATATTATGTCCGTCACAATGTTCCTAACCATCTGTGAAAAAATTGGAGTGGGCCATTCATAACTTTCGCGGCAAACGCCGTTTTCATGCATCAACATCACGCAACCGCGCGTGACCTTGAAAGACAGAGTCAAGACATGCTTGCTTGTGTACACTTTCTGAAATGAATGATTGCTGATTAGTGATATCCCAAACTCTGCGAGGATGGAAATGCATAGTCATCGTAGTCAAGCATTCACGTTCCATAGTAAAAATGTCTCAGGCAAACGGTATTTTGCGGTGAATTTTGAGCCGTGTGGAAATGCATCATAAAGTAAATTCAACGAAAACATTATCACGCAACGATATCTTCACGTCTTTTGATCTTCACTATACGAAAGAACATACATTTTTTAGTATGTATGGGGAATTTCTAGTTAATCCAATAATAAATATGGCAGTTAGAGGCCTGCTAAGAGTAACATGTCGCCGGCTGAGGCGGGCTCGGCCGATGCGGGAAACGCAGCAATCACAATTTTGTGTTTACACGTTCATATTTCAATTGTTTACCAACCGATTTTCAAATTTCTTGCGCCATAAGATTGCCTGTACATTTCTTAGTCTTCCCACAAAATTTGACGCGAATCGAACGTAATCAGCGGTAGGGAGCGCGATGTAAAGACGGAACCGTTCCGTTCCGTCCCGGCACAGTCTACAATTCAGGCGGCGCGTAGCGGTCGGCGCCGGCTGCCGAGTCGCCGGGTCGCTGCGGCGACAGGATGTTCACTTTACACCGCTATTACTAGAACAATTGTGAACCGATTTTCTTATTGCTTGCACGATGAGATGCCCCATTCAATTCTTGACAGGTAGCCATAATTAATTTCGCATTAATCTTATGAGATATTGGCGAAAAACAGGAGGGGTGGGCGAAATTCGCTCTTCCCCCCTCCACTGCACGTGCTAACATACGTTTGCATATGTGCAATTTTCTTCAAAACTTATGAATGGCCCACTCTAATTTTTTCACAGGTTATTAAGAATATGGTAAGCAATAAAATATATGAAAATGAGCCAAATCGAAGGTGACGTGTTTTTTGCTATTTCAATATTTGTGCTTAAGAACAGAGTTAAGCAAATTTCAAGGTCATATATTTAAGTAGGTGCAATTCTAAACAAATGCTTAAGAAATTACCTAAACAGTAAGGTTTATTTCATTCAAATCAAACAAGTACAACCAAAGTTATGGTCGTTCAAAAATATAAAGATGCAACATTTTGTAAAAATTTGATGCCCTATATTTAGAAGACCTGTGGTCAGAATGTGCAAAAAACATCAATGTAATGCCCGGGGCCACACAGGAACTCGCTCACCAATTTATAATGAAATCGCTGATGGTAAGGTGCAAAACAGCCGATTTTTGTTCGATTTGACGTGGAATGCCCCAATAACTAGCGTTCGATTCCCGCCGCCGGCCGAACTTTTTGGCGCGTTGTAGGTTAGGTTGTAGGTTTGTAGGTTGTAGGTTTGTAGGTTGTAGGTCTGTAGGTTAGGTTGTAGGTTAGGTTGTAGGTTGTAGGTTTGTAGGTTGTAGGTTAGGTCAGGTGAGGTTAGGTTATGTTTGTTTTTGTTTGGTTTGTTTACCAAGAAGCATCTTCGGGTATAGCGCCTTCCTTTGGTTGGAAAAAAGAAACACGCGGCGCGGGCGGTGGCTGATGGCCCACGGTGGCTGATGGCAGGCGGGCCACACCACGTCGCGTGGTGGTGAAGAGCTATACTTTTATAGCTCGGCCGCCGCCCAGTCAAAATGCAGATGAAATGTGGTGGGTGCACACCGCAACGTTATGTTGATGCTCATGTGGGGTTGAGGGGGTTGTTTGCCGTGCTCGATGCCGCTACTTATCTCCCGTCTTGCCAGCTGTACAGGGGACTAAGCGTGGAAGGCTGTGTCTCACATGGTGTATGTCTGTATGTTCGTGTTTGAAGGACACCGGTGTGACAATTTCGTAACCCGTGTTCTCGGATATTAATAAACATATGGAAACAAAAAAAAAAAAGAGTCGGGGCAGCGTGCGCTGACCCAAGCCGGGGCCGCGCGTCCTCCCGGTGTCATGTGATAGCCCGGGGCTGCCCGCGGAGATGCGGTAGACCGCGCCCAAAGCTGCGGCCCCGGCTTGGGTCAGCGCACGCTGCCCCGACTCGGCTACCTCACGTTACCGGGCCGGGGCCCTGGCTTTGGGCGCGGCTTCTGCTCATACTTTGTGGTGCGGTGGTGGTGCGTCGGGCCGCACGCTCTGACTTCGGCCAAGAAAAATGCGTCAGCTGATCATTGTCATTTCTGCCACTTGCGTGTGGTGAAATGGGGTCATAACTCATAACTTAAGAGACGGCTTTTTCATATCAATTATTTTACATAAAGTCATATTTCAAACCATAAATAATGTTCGACAGCCAAATAAAAGAAACAATACCAATACAGGCTTACAGTTTAAGGCTCGACATTGTGTTGTCTACGATTAACAGCTGATAACTCATTCCCGTACGTCGTAACTCTATAATGACCTTTGCTTATTGTCACATGTTCGCCGCATTCGCGATTGTTGCCGACGCCTGTTTGCAGGTCAGTCCACTACAGTTGTTATACATATCGAAAAACCGATAAACTTTTAGGCGAAAAAGGCACTATTCCAGGCCCATTTTTGATTTTTTTTTGCGATATTAGGTAAAAACAGAAGCTTCTTGTCCTAGGAAAAATAAAATGAGAAATCTTTCAAAGGTGGCACACTACCTTTAACGTAACGTAACATCTAGCATGAAGCTGGTAACTAACAAAATTATGTAATAAAATGCTGAACAAGTTTTATTATAAAAAATCAATGTGACTGTTCCTTGTTTGTCTTTGTGCGCAAGGCACAATGCTTCTTAAGGTATTCTGAGACATCAAAGGTGCAATCTGATAATCCCTTTTTTCGGCCAAAATGGAAATGATTCAGATAAATCTAAAACCAACAAAAATGGAACACAACGTAGCTTTACATCCGTAGTTCTCTACATCCGTCAGCCTTACATCCGTAGTTCGTTACTTCTTCGCCATCCTCTTATACACTTTACTACTGCGGTAAATTGTTTAGATCTGAAAGCGGGTTCATTATCTTAAAGCAATTTACAGCTCGAGTGCAAAGTCAACCTAGCTGCCTGTTTACTCCTTTTCTCGTCAGGCCACCCCACCGCTCCCCTCGCTCCTAGGGATGAAGATGGGAGGGGTTCGGGTGATCGCGATTTCTTGGTCTATCATCTTAAAAGCTCATTTAAAATCTCGCATAAATAGCATATCATTGTATTTAATCACCAGGCAACATAAGAAAGACGAGAGCAAAGGTTTACCAGACAAGCCATTTACCCGCCAAGCAAATTCCATGTGCATTCTTGGTGCAATATTTTTTCAGGTTAGTAATGCATGTACGAGGATCTTTTGTTTGCAAATAGTGAAATGTGCATGGCATATCCTTGTAGCCCTAAAAAGTTCATGCAAATTAAGTTTATCGATAACTTTGAACACAGGCTTTCATCAGGATTGAAAGCACAAAACTTTTTTTGGTCTAAACATTTTAAAAGCTCTGAGGATAGGTTCATAAACTCTTAACAAATTACATTACATGCCTATTAATTCGTGGGTGTTGGGATGTTGGTATGAGTTCACTGAATTGTAAGTAACTAATACACAATTTTCGCCTATTTTAGGACAAGATGTAATAACATTTATCTGCAGTCTGTACCTACACATGTTTCATCAAGTAACGAGGCCTCGACGCTTTACTGCGTACTTACAATGCAGACAAAGTTAACTAAGACTATTATGCTTAAACACGATACGATATTAAAAACACTAAAACACTATACTCACATGAAAGCTACAATACAAATTCCAAATTTCAAGCTGAGGCACGTCTTATCTTGCATGAAAGAATGAAAATTATTATACCATCAATCGATGTGATTTTTTCTTCGAATGATTTGGTATTTTTTTCTAAAGTAAAATAGCTATTAGGTATATGATATTCAGTTGTGTGCAAAGCTAGAGAATAACGGCGTGGCTGACGCAACCCACGTCCAAATATAGTGACACGGTGCTGAATGATGTAGCTGCAATGGACAACAAATAGTCAATTTCCACCAGCCACGCTGTTATCGGTCGGCGCAGCTTCTCTGTGACGTCTGCTGTGACGTCACAAGTCTCATCACTGGTCGTTCGAGCCGCTACAAAACGGCGCCGGCCGCGGAGGGGGCTCAGAGGTGTCCAGGGCGTGGTCCCGGCAGCAGCGGCAACCACAGCTTCGTCTGCCTCAGCGTCAGCGGAGACACCGGAGCGCTGGGGACCGCCGGGCTGCGGGCGTCAGCCAGGCCGACAGGTCAGTACCGGGGGATGCCGGGCTCAGTGTGAGTACCCACTCTGCTGGTGTGCTGTCTCTGTTTCATGATCTTCAAAAAAAAAAAACTGTTGACATTAAGTGTATCCCGGACGCTCAATGAACAATGATGTTGTTTTTTTCACCTATTCGGAATTTAATGCCGAGAAATTTTGTAAAAAGATCCAACGAAGCTGCTGAAGTGCAATAGTGCTCCTTTTTTTACATCAGGCAAAAACAATTGGCTAGTGAATATATCAAGAACATCCAAGAGTTAAATTTTTGTACAAATTTTGTATTTTAAAGCTCAAGTTTGTAAATTTATATGTAAGAATACCTCGGCTAAACTCTTTCTTTTCGTTCACAGGATGTGTCGAAAAATCGGTCTTCTCATTCTGCTTGTGGTCGCTTGCCAAAACGGTCCCAAGCTAACTGAAGGACATCAATCATGGGCAGCTACCGAAAGTCATGACTTAACGGCTCTCGAATCTGAGCTTACTACAGCCTCTCACCTAAAACCAGAAACTGGAACATGCAAGAATGAAGCTGCGAAACAAGAAATAATAAAAGATGAAACATTGGTTAATTCCCATGCAGAGCCTGAGCAGAGTGCGACCAGACAAGGTCATTCCGAGGAGCGGCTTTTGGACGCAAGGAGGGCTGACAACAGGCGGTCTGATGAACGACGGGCCGACAACCGGCGTTCCGTGGAGCGACGGGCTGACAACAGACGTTCTGAGGAGCGACGGCTGGACGAACGGCGTGTTGAAAGCAGGCAGTCTGAGGAACAACGTTTGGAAGCAAGGCGGGCTGACAACAAAGTTTCTGAGGAGCGACGGCTCGGCACAAGGCGGGCCGACAACAGGCGTTCTGAGGAGCGACGGCTGGACGCAAGGCGAGCCGACAACAGGCGTTCTGAAGAGCGACGGGCGGACAATAGACGCTCTGAGGAGCAACGTTTGGACGCAAGGCGGGATGTCAACAGGCGTTCTGAGGAACAACGTTTGGAGGCAAGGCGGGCTGACAACAGACGCTCTGGGGAGCGACGCCTAGACGCTACGCGGGAAGACAACAGGCGTTCTGCGGAGCGACGGCTGGACGCCAGGCGGGCCGACAACAGGCGATCTGAGGAGCGACGGGTTGAGGTACGGCGGAATGACAACAGACGTTCTGAGGAGCAACGTTTGGACGCAAGGCGGACTGACAACCGGCGTTCTGAGGAGCGACGAGTTGAGATGCGGCGGGTCGACAACAGGCGCCTTGAGGAACAACGTTTAGACGCTAGGCGAGTTGACAGCAGGCGCTCTGAGGAACAACGTTTGGATGCAAGGCGGGCTGACAACAGGCGTTCTGAGGAGCGACGGCTGGACGCCAGGCGGGCCGACAACAGGCGTTCTGAAGAGCGACGGGTTGAGGTACGGCGGAATGACAACAGACGTTCTGAGGAGCAACGTTTGGACGCAAGGCGGGCTGACAACCGGCGTTCTGAGGAGCGACGAGTTGAGATGCGGCGGGTCGACAACAGGCGATCTGAAGAGCGACGGGTTGAGGTACGGCGGAATGACAACAGACGTTCTGAGGAGCAACGTTTGGACGCAAGGCGGGCTGACAACCGGCGTTCTGAGGAGCGACGAGTTGAGATGCGGCGGGTCGACAACAGGCGCCTTGAGGAACAACGTTTAGACGCTAGGCGAGTTGACAGCAGGCGCTCTGAGGAACAACGCTTGGATGCAAGGCGGACTGACAACAGGCGTTCTGAGGAGCGACGGCTGGACGCCAGGCGGGCCGACAACAGGCGATCTGAAGAGCGACGGGTTGAGGCACAGCGGGATGACAACAGACGTTCTGAGGAGCGACTTCTAGACGCAAGGCGGTCTGAGGAGCAACGTTTGGACGCAAGGCGGGCTGACAACCGGCGTTCTGAGGAGCGACGAGTTGAGATACGGCGAGTCGACAGCAGGCGCCTTGAGGAACAACGTTTAGACGCAAGGCGAGCTGACAACCGGCGTTCTGAGGAGCGACGAGTTGAGATGCGGCGGGTCGACAACAGGCGCCTTGAGGAACAACGTTTAGACGCTAGGCGAGTTGACAGCAGGCGCTCTGAGGAACAGCGCTTGGATGCAAGGCGGGCTGACAACAGGCGTTCTGAGGAGCGACGGCTGGACGCCAGGCGGGCCGACAACAGGCGATCTGAAGAGCGACGGGTTGAGGCACAGCGGGATGACAACAGACGTTCTGAGGAGCGACGTCTAGACGCAAGGCGGGCTGACAACAGGCGCTCTGAAGAGCGACGGGATGAGGCACGGCGGGCTGACAACAGGCTTTCTGAGGAGCGACGGCTGGACGCAAGGTGGGCCGACAACAGGCGTTCTGAAGAGCGACGGCTGGACGCAAGGAAGACCGAAAACATGCGTTCTGAGGAGCGACGGGGTGAGGCACGGCGGGTTGACAACCACCGGTCTGAAGAGCAGCGTGTGAACGCAAGGCGGGTATACAGCATGCGTTCTGAGGAGCGACGGGCGGACAACAGGCGTTCTGAGGAGCAACGGCTGGACGCAAGGCGGGCTGATAACAGGCGCTCTGAAGAGCGACGGGTTCAGGCACGGCGGGCTGACAACAGGCGTTCTGAGGAGCGACGGCTGAACGCAAGGCGAGTTGACAACAGACGTTCTGAAGAGCGACTGGCTGAGGCGCGGCGGGTTGACAATAGGCCCTATGAGGCACAGCGTTTGGACGCAAGGCAGGCTGACAACAGGCGTTCTGAGGATCGTCGGGCTGCGGCACAGCGGGTTGACAGCAGGCGCCCTGAAGAACAACGCCTGGAGGCAAGGCGGGCTGACAACAGGCGTTCTGAGGAGCGACGGCTGGACGCAAGACGGGTTGACAACAGACGTTCTGAGGAGCGACCTGTTGAGGCACGGCGTTCTGAGAACCGAGGGGTTGAAAACAGGCGTTTTTCTGAGGAGCGGCGGGTTGACAATAGGCCGTCTAAGGAACAACATCTAGCCGCAAGGTGGGCTGACAACAGACGTTCTGGGGAGCGACGTTTGGACGCAAGGCGGTTCAACAATGGGCGCTCTAAGGAACTGCGTCTTGACGCAAGGCAGGTGGATAGCAGGCGTCCTGAGGAGCGGCGCGTTGACAACAGACGGTCAGAGGAACCACGTTTGGACGCAAGGCGATTCAACAACAGACATTCTGAGGAGCGAAGGGTTGAGGCACGACGGGTTGACAATCGCCGTTCTGAAGAGAAGCGTTTGGACGCAAGGCGGGTCGACAACAGGCGTTCTGAGGGACAAATGATTGACAACAGGCGTACTGAAGAACAACGCTTGAATGCACGGCGGGCTGACCACAGACGTTCTGAGGAGAGACGTGTTGAGAACAGACGCTCTGAAGAGCGACGTCTAGACGCAAGGCGGGTTGACAGCAGTCGTTCTGAGGAACAACGCTTGGACGCGAGGAGGGCTGACAACAGGCGATCTGAGGAACGACGATTGGACGCAAGGCGGGCTGACAACAGGCGTTCTGAGGAACGACGACAGGACGCAAGGCGGGCTGACAACAGGCCCTCTGAGGAACAGCGTTTGGACGCGAGGCATCCTGACAATAGTCGTTCTGAGAAACGACATCTGGACGCAAGGCGGGATGATAACAGGCGCTCTGAGGTTCAGCGTTTGGATGCAAGGCGGGCTGACAACAGGCGTTCTGAGGAGAGACGGGCCGACAACAGGCGTTCTGAGGAGCAACGGCTGGACGCAAGGCGGGCTGATAACAGGCGTTCTGAGGAGCGACGTGTTGAGGCACGGCGGGCTGACAACAGGCGTTCTGAGGAGCGACGGCTAAACGCCAGGCGGGCCGACAACAGGCATTCTGAAGAACGGCGGTTGGAAACCAAGCGAGCTTATGAAGGAGTTCGGCAGAGTTCGGTGGTTAAAATGCGCTTATCTGAAGTACCTGATCATGATCTTATTGCGGAGGCCAGAAATACCCTTCAAGGTAATAGTGTAGACACAGTTGACCCACAGGATTCATCCCGCTCATATGGACTTCTAAATATCTTCTGGAGCTCAAAAACTTCAGAAAACCTGGCTCCCTTCTCGTCCAGCGTAGAAAAACTGGTGGTAAGTACCTTATTGTTATGCATTACTTACTTTAAACGTGTTTCTGGATTTGGATTTCTTTTTAGTGATTGTCTAGATCTTGTAATCTTGTTTGCTCTTCTCTTACTAATATTTCTATCCTGCTCATATGTCTCGCATTTACTTTTACATTTTGTAAAAAAAAAAACTGCAACTGATGCAATGTGTCTACGTGCCGCGTCAAAATGTGACATTTGTAACCTTTGACAATGACAGTCCGTGTCGTCACCGACAGAACACAATCAAGGTGAGGAGACCAGCTCAGAAGCCGAAATACAGCAGCACGCCGCTCTACACCAAGTGAGTGTCCATACGTGGGCCGGCTGAGGGTTCTTATTGCAATCTGCACGTCTCTCTGGTGATGTTTGCAACTGTTACACTGCTTAGGACAGACAAGTGGCAGCCTCTCGTATTTTGCACTCTGTTAATTAAAAAGTAGAAAATTATATACAAGACAGGAAAACAACTAAACGTTTTAGCGGTATGCGAGTAATCGATCCTTATTCTGTATAGATATTCGCGGTTTTCCATTGGAAAACTGCAAACGGTTGACTGTAGGTCTGTGTTCGTTGCAGGCCACCCGGCAGCGCTGCCCTGGGCACCTCGTTCTGGACCGGGGTCGTTGGCCTGGCCCTCTGGACACTCCGCCCGCAGACCAAAGTCCTCTAGACGACCGGTCGGGCGCCACTGTTACTCGCCGATTCTTTTCGGTGCACCAAAGCCGCATTTGACCGCTTCGGGTGCACTGTTGTTGATTGTTTGCAATTCGTTATTGAAATTTGAATGTGAAATACATGTAGGTGAAGCATATTTGGATTGTGTTCATGAGAGACAATGGATGATTGGCCACACTGAACATTTAAAGGCCTAGTCCTAGTTCGTGGTGTTTTTTTTTTCTAACATAGAAATTATTGACGTTAAAGTGACACAACTTCTTCTTCCCAATCCAAGGCGACAGCACGCATGCTACCCTACCCGTTTACATTATTTTTATGATACATGAGCTTTGCAGTGCACACATTTCAACACTTACGAACGCTCTGCACATAGGCGGGGGAACGGGGAGGGCACCGGGGCACCGTGCCCCCTTTGATTTGGGCATTTTAACATTAGCCCTATGGGCGTTGCATGGAAAGAATGGGACCAAAAGTCAGTAGTGCCCCCCCCCCCCCTTAATTGAAGGTGTTCCGCCGCTACTGGCTCTGCACGATTAGGCCTTGCAGCTCTCGAACACTTCCGTTCCGCAACGTTATTTTTCCAATAGTATTCTTGTCCGTCTCTTTAAAACCCGGCAATTGCTGGGGTATTTCGCCACCCGCCGTTTGCTGGGGGGGGGGGGGCGTTAAACGCCTGCAGCCGATAACTCGAGAACCAATAGGCGCAGCGAAACGCACGAAGCGGAAAACAAAAGAGCGCGACGAGACGCTTCAGATGAGTACTTTAAAACTGAATTTTGAGGTCACAGGTCGGGTCAAGGTCAGGTCGAACACCTGAAATCGGGCTTTCAGTAGTATGGACTTCAGAACCTTGCAATGGGCGTCTCTCGTCATAAACTCTATCAAAACTGTGCACAAGCCATCATCTAAGGCCTACAAGAGTGTCAGATCCATGTAGGGGTCAGGCAAGCATAGGTCAGGGTCAAGGTCAGGTAAACCAGGTAGGCTAATATCCCCGAAAATCAAAACTGATATTCGCAGCCTGTGACTTATGTTTTATGGGTAATTTGGGGCGTAGAACACGATGGTGACATTCATTTTATCATATGTGTACGTGTTTGGTTCAAATGGCTCAATTTAAGAAATGCATGTATCATGGTCGTAAAATAGTCACGAGAAATTGCCAAGATTCAGTTCAAGGTTTTTGGAAAATGCGGAACGAATTTGATTGTTCATGGTATTGGCAGTCTAATGGCGTTTACGGCATGTCTGTATCTTTATTCTGTGCTTTTATATGATTTTTGAACATATGCCATTTTGGTCGAAAACTCAGAAAGGATGACGTCAATAAAACCTCGATATCTCAAAAAATTTCGACCGATGTTTTATTCAAACTTTGTCACAATAAACTTCAATCAATTCCCTACAGGTACCCAAATTAGGTTCCTGGTCTCCTCATACCTGATCACAGCTGACTGTTCCGGACTGACGGCCACCTCACAAAGGCAATCGTGGTGACGGCAGCTCCATGAGGATCGTGCCCTCCGCGAGCGGCAAGGTGCAGACTGTGTATGTACACTGCACAATGCACATTGCACATTGCACAATGATGGACTCAATGGCAGCGACGCACCAGTCGGTAGATCAATAAAGACGATGTTGTCCTTACTTCTCATTAGTTTGATATACCGAAACGGACTTAAATAATACCAGTAAAGCGCCTTTTGGGGCGACCAACAGAGCGAGCGAGAGGGTGGGCCTTGCATGTACGAAATTGCGAGGGGTATGTACCTCAAACTGACTTGTGCACGGCATTCTACTAACCGGTCTCTAGCGATGTGCCAAATTTGAGCACAATTGGCTCAGCCGTTCTCGAGATCTGGAAGCGGCATCCTGCACGTGCGCGCGTGCAAAATGGGTCTCAACTGACTTGTACATGGCACCCTACTAACTGGTCCCTAATCGTGTACCAAATTTTAGCGCCATCGGTCCAGCCGTTCTCGAGATCTGGAAACGACCCCTGCACGTGCGCTCGTGCAGCAGCACCCCAACTCTGGCACGTGGATGCATTGCCTAGTGGGTGCCTATACCTACATGCCAACTTTCAGCGCGATCGGTCAAGTAGTTACCGAGATATTGCAACTATTACAAAACTGACACCTCTTCGTTTTGCACGTGGCACGTGCATAAGGGATCACCCACATGCATCGGGCATAGTCCAATACTTGGTAGAAGGAATGAAGCTACCCTACAAAAATTACCGCATGTAAATCGGTCAAGTGGTTGCCGAGATATAAGTCTCGCAAAAGCGTCCGTATGGCCGGCCGGCCGGCCGCTCATACTAAGAAATTTCCGTTAATCTAAGGAAAGACTACGCTCGCTCCGTAACAACAAGGTATACTATGCTGTTTTTTTCTTCTTCTTTTCATTTGGCAGTTAGTTCCTGAAGTAGTTTTTGTTCCTGTAGAAGTAACTAGTTTCTTAACTAGTTACTAGTTAACTAGTTAACTATAGTTCGTTTTTCTTAAGTTTGCCCCTCACTGTAAACGTCTTTTTGAACACAGCACGAGAATTGCTAGCTGAATTACTGAGAAAACTGGTTGGCGCACATTGTATTGTAGATATGAATAATATTTTCAAAATTAAGCTTTGAACACCGACGATTTAACGTTATGTTAAGCGCCCTGCAATTTATTTATTAGTTCACACATAATTCCTGAGAAGTCGTCTATCCCTGTGGGGCTGTAGGCATTGGCAAATACGAGCTACGAGTCTGTGAAATAGTAAATAAATTTGATCAAATTGATCGTCTGTCAAATCTGGTCAAATCAATGTGCGCCAACCAGTTTTCTAAGTAATTCAGCTAGCAATTCTCGTGCTGTGTTCAAAAAGACGTTTACAGTGAGGGGCAAACTTAAGAAAAACGAACTATAGTTACTAGTAACTACATAGTAGTTAGTTTCTATAGATGTTCCGTTTCAAAACTGGTCAATTACATGAAGCTCTTTGCACCAACCCCGTAATGTTCATGCTTTTTTATTCATTTTTGCGTTGCACTATTTGGCTCACCATCAGCGGCATCTCCCGATTCTTGCAATACATCCGGTGCATCAAAGGCATTGTGACCTGCAGGTGTAAAGGTCACGAAATAAACACACGTCACAGCTATTAGGCAACCTGCAATCATTTCTAAGTTGCCCGAGATGGGAGCTGCTGCCCCTCCGAAACACCCAGCCCGGAAATTGCTGACGACAGCGGCGCTGGTAAATACCGTGCATCACCGCCCGCTATCCAGAACGCATTATCGCCCATAAACTACCCGGCCTGGGATTCGGTATCAGCGGCTGCTCTGACCTGCTGGGTCTGCTGACCTTTCGGTATGGGAGCCTCTGGCGGCTCCTGCTGCCCCTTGTCGTGACCTCGCCCCCGTGTCAGCCGGCGCCCTATATAAGACATTCACTCTGTCGGCGGCGTCACTCTCATCCCAGTCAGCGATAGGCGCGCCATCACCAGCGATGCTGCGTTACCAGAGTGTGGGTGTGCTGCTGTTGGCGGCGCTGGCCGCCCCCGCCCCCGCCCCCGCCCCGGACGGAGCCTCGTACGGCGCTCCGCCGCCGCTGGGCGGGGGTCGGCCGGCGGGAGGGTTCGGTGGAGCGGCGGGAGCGTTTGGTGGAGCGGCGGGAGGCTTTGGTGGAACGACAGGTGGCTACGATGGAGCGGCGGCAGGGTTCAGCGGAGCGACAGCCGGGTTCGGTGGAGGAGCAGCAGGGTTCGGTAACGGTCTTGGTGGCGGCGGCGCCTCCGGCGGCCGGCGCGGTGCCCTGCGGGAGCCTGTGGGACCGGGACTGCGGCCCGACGGCCTGCCCATCGGGCCCGGCATGCCCTACAGCTTCAGCTGGGCCGTCGACGAGCCCGACTACGGCAACCAGTACGGCCACGAGGAGGAGAGCGACGGCGTGGTGACGCAGGGCCAGTACCGCGTGCTGCTGCCCGACGGACGCACCCAGATCGTCACCTACTCGGTGGAGGGCGACAGCGGCTTCCAGGCGCAGGTCACCTACGAGGGCGAGGCGCAGTTCCCGCCGGCCGGCCAGCTGGGCGGTCCCGGCGTCGCCGGCGTGCCCGGCGGCCCCGGTGTGCCGGGGGCTCCTGTCGGCCCTGCCCTGCCCGGTGTGCCGGGGGCTTCGGGCGGGGCAGGGGTGGTGGGTTCGGCGTCTGGCCTCGGCCGGCCCAGCACTAGCTACGGCTTCTAACTGGCGCACATGGGCCCTGGCTGATCTGTAGTGCCTCGGCACTGCAGCATTTGCACGTTATTCTGTAACTATATACGGGAACGCCTGGTATGTGTGTTGTGGATAGTTTCGGGTGCTCTGATATCTGACTTATTCCGATGACGGCGAGTTTTATGAGTTTATTTATGATGTGATAGACTACCAAAGACAAATGCATGAAATACACACAATATTATGATACCGGATCTATAATAGAGTTGATAGTTGCTTATTATGAATAAGAGTGTATAGTCGACTACAGAATGATCTTCCACTCCTCAGAAGCTATCAGTTGACCGGAGCGCCAAGTTGTGCCGTTTATCACGCAATTAAGCGTGTCGATTGTGAGTATTGGGGCAAAGCTATAATTTGTGAACTCAGCCCGTGTGATGCGGCACAGCCTACCACTCCAGGCAAATAATTGCCTGTTAAAAGTGGAACATCATTCTGTAGTCGACTATACCTATCACGGAAGCCTGGTCAGTACAGAAGGAAGGTGAAACTGCTTCATTGTCCTTATTTTGCTTTCCGTCACTTAAAAAAGATAAGAAATCAAAATGCCTTTAAAATTTGACTTCTACGCCAGCGAGGGTTCCCTTGTGCGAGTTCTGAACGCATATTTGAGATCTCTGATACCTTTTAATGGACCTCTGATCGCAGGAAGGGGCACTTTTGATCGCTTGACGGGTTACTCTTGATCCCTCCAAGTCACCAAGGGACGCTTGTGCGCACAACACTGGTGGCCCTGAGATAATGGAGGTCTTCTGAGTGCGTGCTTCAGGTCCCCTTTAGGTGGCAAGTAGTCAGGGGCCCGGGAACGATTTTCAAGTTGGGGGGGCGAGCCTAAAATACCTGACATGATGCATATGAAGCAGTGGCGTAGTTCAGGGTCTAAGGGGACACGTACCCCCCACCCCCACCCCCTCCCATCGGGTTCAAAGGGACCCTCGGATCCGAGAGGCCCTGCGGCGCCATTTGACCGCTGAGGGTTAACGATGGCCATATTTCGACTCAGAAGGGCCCCATAGGTCTCGTTAGAGCACCTCATGGGCCCTAAATAACCACACTAAGATCTCCACAAGGGCACCACGCCGGCTTCTGAGGGAATCTTGCAGATTTTAAGGGCCCCTCGGCAGGGGTGGAGCTTCCTATTCACTTGGTGGGGCGCCTGCCCCACCAACTTGCCATTTTGCCCCACCAATAAGCGTTTTGCCCCACCAACTTAAGCCGATTTGCAGGACTTTACTGCTTAGCAAACCTATGTTTTTCGCATTGAGGAGCTTTGAAATGTCTGTGTAATGCAAAATATTATCTCTGTAATGAAAAGAATTGATTCATTGTTGAATTTTATCTAACTTAACAATCGGACATTGTAGGTTTGACAACTTTTTGCCCCACCAACTTTCCTGGAAAAGCTCCACCCATGCCCCTCGGTGGTCTCCAAAGGCCCGTTACTGGCCTCTGAGAGTTCTTACCGGCCTATGAGGGGCCAGTTCTAGGGGCATTTCCCGCCTGTGATGGTCACACACTTATTTTTCCGAGGGTCCCATAACTGCAACTGTGGGGGACCTCATCGGCACCTATGAGGGCCCACACCGGTGTCTCTGAGCGTTTCACACCCCCAACTCTGAGTGCTTATACCAGTGCCTATTAAAGCCCTATATCGGCGGCTCTGAGGACCACCCAGAGGAGTCAAAGGCGGCTCTGTTGATTCCTCTGAGGAGGAGTCAACACCTGCGCATCTAAAGGCCACCCACTTGAAACTTTTGAGGGTCCCACACCGGTGACTCTGAGCCCTGAGGGCCCCACCGGCGTCTGACAGTACCATGCCGGTCTCTAAGAACCCCACAAGACTTCTTATGCCGGCCTAAGGGCCCCGTGCCGGTCACTGAGAACCCCCTGTTGGCTTGTAGAGCGTTCGCGTCAGCAGCTCTAAAGACCCCACACCCGTCTGTAACGGCTCCACGCCAGCGTCTATGAGGGCCCAGAGCAACGCCTGTAAGGACCCTCACCGGCGCCTCTGAGAGAATCACACTAGCCTCTGAGCGCCCGAACCGGCACCTGCATGGCGGCCCCATACCAGTGCCTCTAAAGGCCCCTTACCGGCGGCTCTGAGGGCCCTATACGCCGGTGATTCTGAGGGTGCTACCGATAACCGAAGGCATCACACAAGCCCTTAGTGTCGCTGAGCTTTAATCCCGTAGGTACCGGCCTTCCGAGGGCGCCACGTCAGTTGCACTCATTGCTCCACACCCCTCCTTCACACCCGGAGCGGGTAAACTGTGTTATACCTATATTATAGCAACGATTTTACCACCGCTGTACGTTATGTATTTCTTAAAGTTGACTCAAACGGTCTAGTATAAAATCTTGCCTGCCAAACTCATGGCCAAGGCCAGGCCCAAACCAAAGCAGGATGACAATAGCAGATGTTGTGAAATCGATACTGTATCGGCAGAAACCATTCAGATGGATAGGAAAATGTCGTGTGATGATGTTTAGATGTATAAAGAAAACAAGAAGGAAAGAAGTCCGGAAAAGGGAAGAAAGATCCTTTCACGCTGCCTCAATGTTGAGGGGGCGCCGCCCCCTCGGCTCTCAAGTTGGGGGGGGGGCAAGCGCCCCCGCTGCCCCCCCCCCCTGTTCCCGGGTCTATGCAAGTAGTAGAGCAGGGACCATCTGAACCAGCGAGTAGTCTTTCAGTATATGACGAGAGCGTTTATACTGGGCTGCATTGTGGACGGTCTACCCAAAGAACGAAGGACTTCCCGTTTAATTTTCACCTCTGCACTAGACAATGGTATCTGTATCCACCGGCGAGGGTCTCCTACCTGTCTAGGACCGAGAGAGACCCTCCTCCAGATTACTATCAGACCTTTCACTACCACTACCACTACACTACCAGGTGCCTGATCCACCTAATAGTTCCCATGGTGCACCAAGCCAGCAGAGAGCCGCATGCTCTGCTGGGAAAGTCCATGAGAGCTTTCTGTTGGTATAAGCAAAATCCGAATAATAGATTTGGCTGTGGGAAGGGAGACCAAACATGTAGGCCGCGGACTTGGAAGGGCCTCTTTATCTTTTATTTTATGGATCCGTCCGTGGACTGGGCATGTACTGGTGCGACCGCCTAACCGCCTTCTGCGACTCTGCGTAATTTAAGGAAATTGCGTTTTTAGGCAAAAAAACATAAGGCTATATTGGATTAAGAAAATAAAAGATAAGGTTTCATTTATTTACTTTGCATGCAATCCTAAAAAGTATCCTTCTCTCTCTCTCTCTCTCTCTCTCTCTCTCTCTCTCTCTCTCTCTCTCTCTCTCTCTCTCTCTCTCTCTCTCTCTCTCTCTCTCTCTCTCTCTCTCTCTCTCTCTCTCTCTCTCTCTCTCTCTCTCTCTCTCTCTCTCTCTCTCTATCTCTCTCTATCTCTCTCTCTCTCTCTCTTTCTCTCTCTCTCTCTCTCTCTCTCTCTCTGTCTCTCTCTCTCTCTATCCCTTTTCTCTTTCTCTCTTCTCTCTCCCTCCCTCTCTCTTCCCCTTCTCTTTGCCGGTCTCTTTAATCTCTTCCTTTGCATTCTGCGTCATTCCCTACTGTTCATCGATGCGAATAACTTTCGTTATTATCAGATTCTGAATATAATGGTTCACAGATAACAGTAGTACTACTGTTATCTGTGAATGGTTTATAATTAAATTCCTTTATCAACAATACGAATGTATTTACACAAACATTTCCTCATAAGTTACATGTGTGCACTGTGCATGCTTCAGCACTTCCCTTAATTTACAATACCCACACAAAAAGCATTAACACGAACAAAAAAGGAACAATGCTTCAGAGGCAGCCGAACAATCAAGCTTGCCCGTCGTTATTGTCACACTGTTCATCACAATATCAAAAGGCATTGATATTGCGAACAGTGCCACTTTCGGCTAGCAACAATGCTGGGTCACTGGACCAATACTGGATCACGCTGAGCGTCGGCTGCACCGCTCAGAAGCCGTAGCTGGTGCTGGGCGTGGCGGGATCGTCCTCAGGATACCGGCGTGCTCCTCCCGCTGCCGTACCCACAGGGAACGGCGTGCCTCGCTGGATGGCCACGCGCTGCGGGAACGTCCGACCGGCGCCCAGGCGTGTCACTCGACCGTTGGCGGACGGCAAACGGTCGGCGGGAACGGCCGGAACGGCCGGCCGGGCAGGGACGAACGGCACGGCCGGCAGCGCGGGCTGGCCGGCCGGCGGGAACTGCGCCTCGCCCTCGTAGGTGACCTGCGCCTGGAAGCCGCTGTCGCCCTCCACCGAGTAGGTGACGATCTGGGTGCGTCCGTCGGGCAGCAGCACGCGGTACTGACCCTGCGTCACCACGCCGTCGCTCTCCTCCTCGTGGCCGTACTGGTTGCCGTAGTCGGGCTCGTCGACGGCCCAGCTGAAGCTGTAGGGCATGCCGGGCCCGATGGGCAGGCCGTCGGGCCGCAGTCCCGGTCCCACAGGCTCCCGCAGGGCACCGCGCCGGCCGCCGGAGGCGCCGCCACCGAGGCTGGCACCGAATCCTCTGAGGGGAGCACCGGCGGCACCGGCACCGAACGCTGCTGCCGGTGTAGCTCCTCCGAACCCGGCTGTCGCTCCGCTGAACCCTGCCGCTGCTCCATCGTAGCCTCCCGCCGCTCCACCAAACCCTCCTGACGCTCCACCGAATCCTCCTGACGCTCCACCGAACCCTCCTGACGCCCCACCGAACCCTCCCGCCGGCCGACCCCCGCCCAGCGGCGGCGGAGCGCCGTACGAGGCTCCGTCCGGGGCGGGGGCGGGGGCGACCAGCGCCGCCAGCAGCAGTACACCCACACTCTGGTAACGCAGCATCGCTGGTGATGGCGCGCCTATCGCTGACTGGGATGAGAGTGACGCCGCCGACAGAGTGAATGTCTTATATAGGGCGCCGGCTGACACGGGGGCGAGGTCACGACAAGGGGCTGCAGGAGCCGCCAGAGGCTCCCATACCGAAACACCGGCGAATGATGCCGAGATGGGGTGACTGAATTTAAGCTGAGATGATTTCCTTGTTAGTTGCATGCTAGAACAATTTTAAAGTTTAACAAATGATGTTTTGCTATTTTTTATAATAACATACACTTGGGAGTTGCATTGAGATATTTGGAATGTAATTTTTATGTGGAAAACAAATTTGGTGTTTTTATTCTTATGGATTTTATCAAACCTGTTTTCGATTTTCGATTGGTTTTAAATTTTTAATGCATTTTCTGTGCTTAGTTTGATGAATTCATAGTGTCCCCGATAAAACCTCTTTATTGTTTTTTTTTGTCGCGATATATTTATAGCCCATTGCCAATTCACACTTCATGGCTGATCGTTCTCAACCATTGTTAGTAAAACGTTGATAAAAGCAACGAAAAAAAAAACATTAAAAGGTAAATGCTTGTAAGACACTAGGAATATTTCTTTCTACCTGATTCTTTGAGCAACCCGAAAAGCTACGGTTGCAGGGGGTCCTGTTGCTTTTTCATTTAAACACTTAACGACGCACAGATTGGACTCCAATAATTTACTTGCTCTCCAGTCATCCCGACCAGAAATTTACCAGCCGCCAAGCTCAGACACTTGGCTGTGATGCACCCCATTCGCATAGCAATTCAGATAGCTTCACATGGGTGAATTTTCAAGGCCAAATCAAATATCAGTAATGCTTTCGATGAGTCATAATTTTGGGAGCGTTTTGTGGGTCTAAGGTCTTTTTTAATAGGGGATGGATCTGCCATCGATACAATGTTCACAGAGCTTCGAGACATAATGGCGGGTTAGTGTGAACTAATCTCGGCGGGCGAAGAAAATGGCGCGGTGGTTACATAATGCGACAGAAACAATTTCTCGGCACTTCTACCTACCTGGTAGGTCTCACATTTGGACGAAATGATCGCAGGCTTCTCACCCATACGGAATTCATCCATGGAAGGGGCGAGCAAGGGCAAGGTCATGACACAGTTTCATCAATATCGATATAACAGCCTGCGAACCAGTGCGGCGCCGGCTGACATGGTGCCTCTTATAATTTCACATCACTGCATGTGAAACTTAATTAACTTGTCCTATGCTTTGCTACATCACAGCCGTGGTCTTGCGTTGGTAAGGTGTATTTGACTTCCTATGCCGGGTGACCTGATGCGGGTGATCCCTCCCCTTGGAAATTAATTGTTCCAAGACACGATCGCATGTTCTCATATCACCTGTCATATAAATTACAACGCCTCACAGTGACGAGGCTATGCCCCACTTGTCAGTGAGACGTGAATCAGCGGGAACGAAAACCCATCATTTTTGTGTTAGCTGGAGTGCTAAACACGGGTGCAGGTTGAAATATAGGGAGAGTGATTCATACTGAAGGAGCATGTTAGATCATGGTTATTTATATGCGCACTGCTCTTGACTTACACGTACGTGCAAGGGACAGGATTTCAAGACAACCGTCTCCAAATCTAGTCTTGTAAGTACAGTTTTATTATCTTGTAATCTAGTAATATAGTCTTGTAATTGCTCCAGTTTTAACTTGCAACTCAACATGGAATGTACCGGTTATATGAGACATTGATTGGCAGAAGAATTAAGTTTTTTCTGTGATTATTGATTTTTCTGTGATAAAATGCCAAAGAGGCCATCCTAATCGTGTTTTATTGTACTTGTAAGCTAACCACTCAAATATTTAAAACCAGAAACAAGAAAACGGGACGGAATATGGATGGTATATCGTTAACCTTTTTCTGGTTGCATTTAGTTAACTAATGCAGTATGGCTTTTCTAGCCTTTTTTATTATATGACTTTTTATTATACGATAAAAGGATGTAAAAATGTTGACATTTTGACCTTTTGTAAGACGTATTTGTATTTTGTCGCTAAATATTATCATAGATCGAACGGGACGATCATGTGAAACGAATCTAGCCTGCCTTTTGAGTACTGCATGTGATTCCTTAGACAATGGCAAGCAAACGGATATTATTTACACAGACTTTTCCTCAGCTTTTCAAAGCGTGAGCCATCAGCTGCTCATTCACAAACTTCAAAAATCGTATGGTGTCGGCGGACTAGCACTTAAATGGTGTTCGTCTTTTCTTTCACAGCGTAAGCAGAGAGTAGTTGTAAATGGCAAATGTTCTGAATGGCAGAATGTTATTTCGGGTACCCCAGAGGGCAGTATTATTTCACCTTTGTTTTTTGCTCTTTTTATTAATGACTTTCCACGAATGGTTCAAACCAACTGTCTCATGTTTGCAGACGATATAAAGTTATTTTCAGTGATATCAGAACAGAATGATACCACATTGTTACAAAATGATCTAACACAACTTTATAACTGGTCCAAAAGCTGGAAACTCAAGCTTAATGCTGATAAATGCAAGTCATTTAGGGTAACCCTCAGACGTGATCCCATTGTTTATAGTTATATGATTAATGGGACCTGTCTGGAAAACGTTGAAACCATTCGGGATTTGGGTGTTGTTTTGGATACCAAATTGACTTTCAGCAAACATATAGACACAACAGTATCAAAAGCTAACAGAGTCATGGGTCTCATCATGAGATCGATGCAAACCGGTCACAAGGTCAAAACATTTAGCTGGAAGCCCATTTTAACAGCATATTATGGTAACGTTAGAGCAATTCTCGAGTATTGTTGTGTTATTTGGGGAGGTGCCGCAAAAACGTACCTGGACAGAATCGAAAGGGTGCAACAACGTTTCTTATATTGGCTATATTGTTATACTCGATGTCAAGACTCACCATCAGCTATTGATTACAGTGACTTGCTGCGATTATTTGGCGTCGCATGTCTAGAGAATAGGCGTCGACAATATGACATTATGTTTGTTGCCAAATTGTATAAAAATCATACTGATTGTGCAGCCCTTTTAGCCCATTTCCCTCTATTTATCGCGCCAAGGGCAACGAGAAGCACCGAACAAGCACGTGGTGTCTTTCATGTTCCATTTGCGAGAGTAGACGCGGTACAAAGGTCACTTTTTGTTAGAGCACCATCGTTTGTTAATAAGTTTTTGTTTCAGTGTACTGATGCTGATGTATTCCATGACTCTTTAAGGGAACTTAGGGCCAATGTGTCAACATATGTAAAAGAATTGTAAAATTGTATCGTAGTTGCAATGTTTTTGTCCCAGTGTTTGTGTGTAACATTTGACTGATTTTGAGTGCTTGGACATTAAATGGGCCCACGTATGCCTGTTGTCCTTGACCCCAAATAAATAAATAAATAAATAAATAATAAAATCGCTACATTACATTTTTTGTGCGTGTCATAGAATTCATAAAGCATGACAAAATATTACACATGACCTTGATGCTAAAAGGCTGCAATATTCCTGCTTCGAAGTGATCTTTTGCTGCATTTGATTCATTTTCGTATGGAGTTTCATAATCAACTTGACACTCATGTCCGTCACGCCGCGCACATGTGAACACTTCATGCGACACTGGTCATTCCCCCACCCATCCCATCCCACCACCACGCCTATGGCACACCCGATCAGCCGCAGGAGTCTGTCTGACGTGCAGGAGCAGCCGCGGAGCAATGGCACCACAGCGCGGCGACTCTGGCGCACTCGTGACGATCGTGGCGGCCCTCTGCGCCGCGCCGCGCCGCACCCGGCCGCGCGGGGCCCGCCGATGACCCCGTCTGACCCGTTGGGAGTGGTGCGGACCGCGGCCAGGTCAGTCGTGCACCGCGCCGGCCGGGGGGCGGACCAAATGTCCCCCGAGCTCTCGTTACCCGGCGAACCCGACCCTCCTCTGATTTATGAGTTGGTGCAGAGAGATGTGCAAATACGAATGATGAATACAACTGTGTGATATATGCTCTGGTTATGAGGCAATACACGTAACAGTGTGGTCTGGTATGTGCGGTTAGCAATCACCTCACGATCCTCAGATGGTTCATGGCCAAGTGTAACAAGCTAATCAGAGAGCACGCGGGACCTGTTCCAGGCCACAGGTCGCTTCCGTTGTGTATGAATCAAGACTCATATGGGGACGGTGTCGGGATCACCGTCTGTCCGATCACGAAACTCACGAAGTAATTAGCAGACGTGCGTCCCGCTGTATGATTAAATCAAGCGGCGTGCACTCTGTGGCAGACCACTTTGAATTGTTAGTTCAAATGTCAATACAGTGCATAAGTACGATGTTGTGGGGAGCGCTTGCCTTCAGTCGTGTTATGTGCCGATTTTTGCATCTCTTTGCACGTGTTTGCTTCAATACTAATAGGTACAGAAGAACGTAGTAAAGTTGCAGCATACAACCAAAAAGGTCATTTTAAGCATGCGATGTATTACAGACTCTCAATATCATTGATTCTATCTAAGCTTCAGACGATTTACAAAATGATAACGTTTGGAGACTAGCAAGCACTCATGCAGTAATTCGCTTATTCTTCCCATATAGCCTCTCGATGCAGTTCAGTGTTTCGGTTGTGCCAGCCTCCTTCAGCATGCTCTTTGCGGTTGGTTGCTTTTCCGCCAATTCTTGATAGGAGTTCCCCTCAGCGAAGAAGTGCAGCTTCACTGCCTCTTGACAGTTGTTGAATTCCCGTGACGGCTTGGCGATGACCCTCTGCATCACCCTCATGTGGTTAACCAGCGCTTCAACGTCATCAGCTGTGCCACCCCTCTGCTTCCTCCTCTCCATGGCCTTCATGAACGCCCTCCGGGACCTGGTGAAGGCCTCCACCTTGCTGGCGTCCTTCTCGTGGTAGCAGTAGATCGGCGGCGCGTCGCACAGGTCGCAGAGGAAGTACTCCTTCTCGGGTAGGTCCATGTGCGGCGCCCAGTCCTCTGTGCAGGCGCGGCACCGGCAGTCGAAGAAGTACTGTCCGCGCAGCGCCGCCTGCCGCTCCGTCCAGCCCTGCACGGCCCAGTGGAAGCCGTAGTTGTCGAGCAGCTCGCCGCCGGCCGGCACCGGCTGGATGACGCGCACCACGCAGGCCGTGCCGTGACTGACGCGGAGCACGTTCGGGTCACACGAGTGGTTCAGCAGGCTGACGCTCGGGTAGACGGCGGCGCCCACCTCACGCAGCTCGGCCTCCTCGCCACGCACCACCTGCTCAGAGATCTCGTGCGCGTTACACGGTAGAGACTGCAGGTAGTGCAGCAGAGCGGCGGCCGTCTCCTCGAGGTCACTTCCCTCTTTCGAAACGTCATTCTCTTCTCGGACACTGCTCTGTTCTGATGTGCCGTTTTCTCTCTGTGTGGTTTCGCCGTTTTCATTCCGTGAATTTTCAATACGAGTCGAGCTGTCGCCACGCTGGCTGTATAGAAGACAGGCCAGGCAGACGGCGGTGGCGGTGCGACGGAACAGGTCGGCCACGGAGCGTTGCTTGGTGTGACCCACCAGACCTCGAGCCGCGTCCAGCTGACCGGGGGAGCAGCCCTCTCCCCCAGACCCGGTGGTATCGCCGGGCCGCCCCAGCCGCTGCCGCCGCAGCCGCTCCGGTCCAGCAGCGGCCACCAGCCGCAGCGCCAGCAGCGCCATCGGCCCGACGTCCAGCTCCAGCAGCCGCTCCAGCAGGCCGCACTCCAGCACGTGCTGATCAGCCGCCGCCGTCCGGCACGCCTCCGAGCAGAACCGAACCTGCAGGGGACCGTCGGAGGGTCAGGGGCGGCCCACGAGGGTCGAATAGTGCGAAAATGTCTGGTGAAAGGGCATTTTCACTTGTTCTGGCTAAATCTATGATAACATGGATATTGAATAATGGACAATGAGCATTGAACATTGAAGGTCTGATGAATGTCTTAATCATTAATTTGCTATTTCTCATGACGTGTAACCTATAAACGAAGCCTCAAATTGAGCGACTAAATTCAGCTGGCCCTATATAATATCAGGACAATCCTTCAAGCTGTTACATACTGAAGCTGACCGAGAAGCTGCACATCCAACAATAGTCTGAAATAACGGTTTCAGTCACTGACCGATGAGCAGGACAGACAGGGTACGGTTTCCTGGAGGCGCGCGCAGCACTGGTAGCAGTGGGTGGCCCACGAGTCCGGCAGGGTGGCGGAGCACAGCGCAGGCTCTACAATCACAACATCGCCTGCAGACACGGCCGCGGAGAGGTCACCTCAGGTCACCGCACGGTCCGGCTGAGGTCAGCCAGAGACAGCAGCAGAGAGCGGGGATATACACAGTGGGGTGGGAGGGAGCGGCATGGCGGGGGGGGGGGGACAGACGGGCAGTCGACGTGTGGCCCGACCTGGAACTCTGTAATGGGGAGCTGGCTGAGGCCACGGCCACGGCCCACTGGCGAATAGGGAAGAGGGGTGGGGAGCACAAATTAGGGGCTGTGGAGTTGTGGTAGTAAAAGATGCCAAATAAATTGTGTCTGTCTTATCAAATGCTAAATAACATTAATCGTGGAATTCCTATATCTGTAGGCGCACACACAAAAAGCGAGCCAACAGTGCATTAGGTATACTTTGAATGAAAGTGTACCGAAAGGAATAATTAACGGAAACAATTTTCAAGCTTAATGTATCGGCAAATGGCCCATTTATTGCTACGAGGGTGATACACTCAGGTCAAAAAAAAATCAGGAAAGTGATCTGGTGAGCAAAAATACATTGATGAAGGGCTCATAATGCATGACCAAGCTAAAACACGGTACCTACATGCCTTTGTTCCACCTGAAAATGAAGCATTGCGGGACATATTGCGGGATGGGAGAGGGCTTTCAGAACACCTTCAGGCTTCGGCACGGGGCTACTGCATTGGCGGTCAGGTCAGGGTCACATTGGGAATGCATGGTCAGGGCGCGAGGGGTTGTCGGGGGGGGGGGGTGAAATTCGGCGATGATACTCGATACCTCCAACGGCTAGTGTGCCAAGCTCGTAGAAGCTATGAGCACCTGCCGGCAGGTACCCTCCTTTCGCTCCTGACAGTTGCTGGAAACGAAAACATGAGGTGTCAGATGAAAGGGAGGCATTGGTAGCATGTAAAAGTCCCTTTATTGAAAAGACGAGACGCAGCACTAATTTGCAAATACGGCAGCTGACATATGGCCGTCACGCTTAGAGATAAGTATGCAGTTTGAACAAATCCGATACGTGTTAGCATTGTTCATGCACAAAGTAGATACACTGATATTGCCTACCAGTGTGATAAGTAGTATAGGCCTATATCACAATGTTAATTAACGAATAACATATTCCGTGCAGACAATGGCAAGTTTTTTTCCTTAGTAGCAGCGGATGTATTTTCTGCGTTTTATCACAATGTATTTTGAGTATTTCCCCGAAATTCACCGAGGAATGTCGAATACGAATGGCAACAAGATATATAGAAATAGCTTAGAACATTTATATACATTAGGTTAGGAAAATATTTGCATTTTTCTGTTAACCAATCATTGCATATCCAAATTAGTATCACCTACTATTTTGCCAATCCATCAGGTAGTTTCTAGACAAGCTACTTCTGGCTAATGTTGTCTTTCTGGGGGATGGAGGAGACGTCCTAGATAACATACATGTTGATATTTTTTCAATAATAAAGCAATACTTTAGTAATGATGGAACTTAAAAACTTTACGGCTTAGCGTTTTTATTGCATGTCAGGTGCTTTTTGCAAGCTGAAGTTTTCAAATGTAAAAGTAAACAAATTTTATATAGATTTTCAAAAAAATTGTAATGTTTTTGGAGACGCTAAAACGTGCTGTTAGGATTTAGGAATATGAGCTTATTAAAACATCTAATGCTAACTAGAAGACTATCACAGAGAGCAACCGAAAACGGACGTAGACATGTGAGCGTGAACGTCTAACTAATCTGCGCGCTGCTGCAATGCGGTGGCAAGGTCACGGCTTGCGAGGTTAAGAAGACGGCTACGAGGAGACGAAGTGTAGGAACAGTGTGGACAGCCACACTGATAATCTCATGCATACACTAAACTTTGTTGTTTACCATATTGCAAAGTGTAAAACACGTGAAACAACGAGATGTTGTAACCTTCCCAATGATATCCAATTAGCTCCTGACCTGGTGAGAGGTCACTGACTGACCTGGTGAGAGGTCACTGACTGACCTGGTGAGAGGTCGCGGTTGGCCACCAGCATCCTGCCCTTCTCCTGTGTCACCACCAGGTCCACCGCAGCTGACGCGGCCGGTACGACCTCGCTCGGACCATGGGAGAGCGGCGGCAGCTGCGGCACTGAGGGCGACGGGCTCTTCCTCTCCTCCCGGCGTCTCTTCGTCCCGCTGCTCTGCTTCTGCTCATCCTTCCTCTGCTCTGTCTGCTCTCCTTGCTTCTGCGTCCTCTCCCGCTCTCGATTCTGGTCTGAATGTTCCGTCTGCTCCGGTTGCAGCTCCCCCTCCTGTCCCGTCTCCAGCAGTCTCTTGACGCGATCCGCTGCGCTGCGGCACACCAGGCCATCGAGCCTCACTAGCAGCTGCTTCCTTCTCCGGGCGTCCAGCGGCGCGCTCCTGGCGGCGGCCAGTGCCGCGCAGAAGGCCCTCTCGGCGCCGGCGCCGTCCCCCTGCCGCCGGCGCGCCTCCCCCAGTCGCTCGTGCAGCTTGTACCGCATCTCGCGCGGGTAGCCGTGCTGGAGCGCCTGCTGCACGGCCTCCTCGCAGGGCCCGTACCTGCCCAGCTGGAACAGCGCCGCCGATCGGTTGGCCAGTGCCAGGCTGAGCTGTGGGGAGCCGGCAGGCGAGCACTGGGCCGCCTGCGAGTACAAGCGCAGCGCGGCCGTGTGCTCGCCGCGCCCGAAGCAGGCGTTGCCGTCTGCCCGGAGCTGCTCAGAGGCGGCGGCGGAGCGCGGAGGTCCGCCGCCGGTTACCTGCTGTAGGGGGCCGCTCTCCGGCATCTTCATCAGGAACTGCACCCGCTCCATGTCCGTGTCCAGGGCCGAGAACTGCTCGGTGACCGCCTGCACCTGGCCGGAGCTGACCAGACTGCCGTGCAGGCCGCGCAGCAGGCTCTCAAAGTCCACTCCCGTAGACATGATGTAAACCAGGTAGCTACTGCTCCAGTTGTTCGTACAGTCAGGTGGTCAAAACAGTGAAGTAAGTACGTTCAAATATCACCAGTTTTCACCAATCAGCACAGCTTCATTCCAGTAAAGTTCGATGATTCAGTTGTCACTCTGGCTGCACAGGACAAACACGACTCAACAGCTTGGCTAACAGACTGCGAGCCGAGCGCGCCTTGCACGGCTCACTGCTCACAGACCCGGCACCGTCATCCATCGGCCGTCCTCCGCCGCTACCGCCGCCGAATTTCTCAGTCACGTGACCGCGCCGCCGGCTGAGGCAACCCAATACGTCCGGGGGTCTATTCTGGGTACGTGAGGGGAGGGGGGGGGGCTGCGACGCTCGTGGCCGGCCGCCGCTGACCCAGCCTCATCGCCAACGACGCAGCGGTGACTGAAGCGTCCGCGGGTGCATATTTACCTACAGACTGGGGTGTGGCGAGGCCACGAGGAGCACACGTGGCTTTATTTTTTTCTCAGTTGAGTTATCTAAATGCCGGGCGAGGAAATTGAAAAACAGGAGGTTCTACACTGCAGAAGACAGCTTCTGTTTTATCTGGGCTTATTCTTATATCAGGGAAATAAATCCTCCGTTTCCACCACGGACGTATAGATAAACGTTTATTTATACGCCCGTGCTTTTCACTTTTCAGTTTTTAATATTATCCGCTAATAACGAATAATTTTCTCTGAGCTACATCATATCTTAGCTTATTTACTACAAGTTCGTTTAGATACATCTTATTCAAAATGTTCGTTAAACGGTCTGAGTACACATACGCTGATTGTGCTGTAATAACTCTTCTGTAAACAAACGATGCCCGCGTATCTCCCTATCCGTTAGTTTGAGTAAACATCGTCAGCGCCTAGTCTGTCGGTGCACCAACTAACGCTGGGCCAGTACACGAACGACGAATCGTCTGTCGATGGAGCTGTTACATCAGACTTGGTGGTCTCTGGTGCTTTATTGAAATAGAAGATCTAAGATACAACTAACGAATGTCATGGGGACATGCACCGGCAGACGCACACAATAGGCTTGTTGCGTATGGTATATCAATGCCGTTTTACAAAATATAGCAACGATGGTCATGGTTTATGTCACAGAATAAATGACGCCCGGATATGCTCTCGCATCCGGATGAAAAACACAGTTTTTATAGCTTTGATGTAGGTACTTGTGTCTTTGTTACAATAAACGTCATTTCACAATTCACTTTCCATTGTATCATATTAGCCTAGTGACTTCATTGTATTTGTATGCTCTGCTGGTTGTCTGGATATTTGACCATAACCTAGCTCTTTCACCTTTGTGGAAGACCTTTTGCATCAAGCCGCGGCCCAATGTGAATGCTTTTCGCAGGCTGTGAAATTACGCATGGTCTTCGGTTATGTTTATCCGAACAGACGCTTACTATGTATTATTCGATCCGGACTGGTGAGATCGAAGTTCAAATACACAAACTGAGCAATGAATATTTTTACTTATCAATATTATTAAAGCTTTGCGTTGATCATTAGCCATTTTCAGTCGCAAAGCAAACCAATGATGAAGTCAAATGCTGGGTCCGTATTAAAAATAGCTATAGGTAAGTACCTAACTGCGCCTTTTTTCTGGTATGGAAAACTGATCAGTGGTTATGGTGATAAGAACTGGAATGAATTTGACTTCAAAGGCACATTGTTTTTAATCGTCTTGAGAAAAATGCATGCATGTATCATGCGTGTTTGGCAGCTGCAAAGCTTTCACATAGCCATTCGGATAAAAAAGTGTCTTTGTGTATTGGTATGTATTTGCTCATTTGCCTAGTTCTATGATATTGCATGGTTGTGTGCCGAGTGTTTACTGTTTCGCACATTGCCTGTGTCATGCCACTATCCAGTATTTCTGCAGTCTACCGCACCCATTTACAGATCCGCCGTTTTGCACCATGCACGGTTTGCCAGAGAGTGTACCGGGCCGACGGTGATCCCTCCGGCCGCCCTGTCAGCCGCTGTACCGGGCGCTGGCGGCGCGCTGCGCCTATCAGGCGGTGCGCCGCTCCGGTGGGCGGGGCCTCGCACCTGTGCCGCCGCTCAGTCCACTGCCGCCCGCGCCGGTGAGAGCGTCCCACGGGTGTCACGCGCGGTGTGGGTGCAGCCATGGGTGCTAGTGGTCGGCCCAACGGCGCAGTGGCGGAGGGCGAGGCCATGGATTTCGAAACCCAGTACCGGGAGCTGTGCGTGGCGCTCTCCAAGCAGGGCCAGGTGACGAACCTGACCAAGGAGTTCAACTCGATGACCTCGGACGAGTCGCGGGTGCGCTTTCTGCTGACGCTGGACTGCGTGCGCGCGCCATCTCGTGAGCGCGCCTCGCGGCTCAAGTGTCCGGCGGAGAGCGGCCGACTGAGGTCGGCCGGGAACGCCGCCTACGGCCGGCGGGGCCAGGAGCGCGCCGCCCTGCAGCTGTACACGCAGGCCGTGCTGGCGGCGCCGGAGGGGGACGAGGCGCTGCCGCTGGCTCTGGCCAACCGGTCGGCCGTGCTGCTCAGCCTGGGACACCTGGGGCCGTGTCTGGCCGATATGAGCCGGGCGCTGCGGCACGGCTACCCGCAGCGGCTGCACAGCAAGCTGGAGCAGCGGCTGGAGAAGCTGCGGGAGCTGGCGCTGCGGGAGCCCTCCGCGGAGCTGCCGGAGACGCCGACCCTCAGCCCGGACCTCACCGACGAACAGGAGGAAACACTGGTCTCCGGTGAGGGGGCCTCTTACAGCGAGAGCCGATCTATGTAGTCACGAATGTTTAAAGTTTATAAATACTCTAACTTGGTGTCATTTGTCCTGCTTCAAACTGAAATGCAATACTCGAGCACTAGCTTTTGCACAATGCCAAAACGCCACGCTGCTATTTTGTTCTCTGCTGCCCCGGCGCTGCCCTCGGTGAACCCGCTCCTGCCGTCCGCCTCTGAGGCTGTGGAAGTGCAGACCAAGGAGGGCCGAGGACGCTGTCTGGTGGCCGCTCGGGATGTGGCGCCAGGTGAGCGAACCGGTGCATACCTGAGGAGGGGGAGCTGACCCTGGACGGTAGGGTTACTGAGATGGGTGAAGTAGGCGGATTGAGGCTGGGTAGCGGGACGAGTCAGCGCCGTGCAGCGTGCCTGCCTGTGAGGAGCGAGATAGTGTGGTGCGATGTCTCTTTTTGGCTCTTCAGGTACAACCCCTCATGTTGCAATAAATAGTGTGGCCAAGTCGTGATCCAAGTCTGACGAGCTTGGAATCGATACTTGCTATTGTGATAATCATCTAGGATATCATTGGGTCACTTATGTATTAGTGGGCAGCTGCACAAGCTTTGTTCTGGAATCCAGTCTGTGATGCAAATATTGATGTTGTAAAGTTGTGCTTTCTTCCCAGCTGGCTATCGCTGCCCTTAACTTGATTACTGCCCAGATGTGTTTTCTTTCTAATCATAACATGCAGCCCTCTGTTTCGTACTATCAAGGGCCACAGCCGCCGCCCAGTGGTGTTTTGAAGCCGAGGTAAGAGCCCGTTCACCCCGTCCTGCGGCACACTTTTCTACCCTCCCATACCTACCTGTGGACCCTACCTATACATATGGCCGTGGCCTGTGTTTCGAGAGGCACCACCCACTGAGCTTCGAGCCGGTCCTATTTACAGCTGGCATGTGGCGTTTTGGCAGTCGGTATACCTGCATCACGTGTGTGCTATTAAACGGACAACTTCTTTTGACAGCATTCTCGGCTTCAACACTGCAAAGACGCCTACTCATTCCCTCTGTTTCCCCTTTAAACTGAAGCTATGGATTTCAGCCTCCCTTCCAGCGTCTTTACTTCGGCATCGTCATTTTATCCCACTGCTGTGTTATATGTGTAAACTGTAAATACCTCGGGATGCTGAGTTTCACCCTTTCTCACCATATCTACCCAATTTCAGCTGATGGATGTCATGCACCGGTTCGCTCCCCCATCACCCCCCCCCCCACATATGGGCTGTACCCCTGACCCGGCTGCCCCCCCTCCAACTCTCCCCAGCGCTTACCCGACCCTCCCCGAATTTCGGCTGTACCCTGCCCCCCCCCCCCCTCCATAACTTGGTCGCTACCAGTTGTATATTCACTCGCTGATGTATATTTTTCTGTGGCACTTGTATACATAATTTATGTTTACTTTGTTGGTATACGTAGTTTTGGCTGTATCGCATTTTTGTCGCATCCGTATCGTATTCATTAGATGGGTGTCATTATTTACTAATTCTGCATTACTGTTGAGCGGAAAAATTATTTATCGGTCCAAAGTTAAGTACCGTTTATCAAAAACATAGGAGTTGCCGTACTTCTTGAAAGTCATTTTCATAGTCGACGGATGTTCGAATGAGACGAAACTTTTAAATAACGACAAGCGAACACAAGAGACAATAACTGGTGCGTCTGCTTGAAAATCGTTTGATGGTTAATACGAGACTTGTCTTGTTTAGGACGGCTTGTCACGTCTATGTAGGCTGTAGCTGCTTTTGGCTAAGACTGTGCCTTAACATATTGATGTAAGTAAACTGCGCATCCTGGCAATGATATCGATTCGATGCGCACTCAAATACATTGCGCTCTTTTAATGCGTATGAAGAGATGACACTCCTCATTCTTAATGTTTTCGATGGGTTTAATGAAACTTTAAGATGTTTTATTAGTTTTCGGCACATGGTATGCTCACTTGTTAATTTATATAAATGCAAGATGCTTTTGTGACACCCGTTTGCCCATATTGTGCACCAGGGGAGGTTCTGATGGTTGAGCAGCCGTACTGTGCCGTGGTGCTTCCGGAAGAAAGTGAACAGCACTGCCACCACTGCTGCCGCTGGTCACCGGCGCCTATTGGCTGTCTGCACTGCGTAGAGGTGAGAGAACGACTCTGATTGGCTGTCTGCACTGCGTAGAGGTGAGAAAACGACTCTGATTGGCTGTCTGCACTGCGTAGAGGTGAGAAAACGTCTTCTAGTGGCTGGCTTTACTGGGTACAGATGAGAAAAGGACGCTGGCTGGCTGAATTCACTGCGTAGAGGTGAGAAAACTACTCTGATTGGCTGACTTCATTGCGTGGAGGTGAGAGAACGGCCGTGGTTGGCTGTCTGTATTGCGTAGAGGTGAGAGAATTGCCATAATTGGCTGTCAACGCTGCGTGGAGTTGAGAGAATTGCTCCGATTGGTTATCTCCCTTGAACAGAAATGAGTGAATGGTGCCTATTGGCTGCGGGAACGGCTAGGAGAGGTGGGAGAACGGCTCTGCCTCATAAAACAACCAATTCATCGTTATTAGTAAGTTGCAGACACTAACCTGACCTGACCCTTCCCCCCTCTCCCAGGTGCGGTTCTGCAGCCGGCGATGCCGAGCCGCCGCCTGGGAGCAGTACCACTCGGTCGAGTGCCCGATCTACGGCCACCTGGTGGCTCTGGACGCTGGTCAGATGGCGCTGCTGGCGGTCCGCTCGGTGGTGGTGGCCGGCTGGCAGCGGCTGGTGGCCAGTCAGGCGCAGAGCCGCGCCCCACTGCCCCCAGAGTACCGCTCTGACGACTACCGGCGCGTCCGTGATCTGGAGGGGAACGTGTCCGCGCGCCCGGCGGCCGACCTCTTCAAACGCGCCCTGATGGCCGTCCTCCTGGGCCGGCTGCTGACCGGCAGCAGTCTGGTGCCGGCAGAGATGAGCACCAACGCTGGCACCAGCACCACTAGCAACGGCACCATGAACGGCGATAGCAACGGCACCAGTATCATCACCAGTAACGACATCAGCACCATCTCGGGCGCGGCCAAGCAGGCTCTGGTGACGGTCAGCGCGGAGCTACTGCGCCACCTGCAGACGTACCCGTGTAACGCGCACGAGGTGTCGGAACAGGTGCTGCCCGGCGGCGGGCTGGCCGGAGCCACCACTCGGCAGACGGGTGCAGCCGTGCTGCCGGCGCACAGCCTCACCAACCACTCGTGCGACCCCAACGTGTTCCGCGGCTACCACGGCACGACTGCAGTGCTGCGCGCGCTGCGTCCTCTAGCCAGCGGAGAGGAGCTGTGCGACAATTACGGCTACCACTACGCCCTAATGCCGCGCGAGGAGCGCCGCAGGGGCCTCGCCCGCCAGTACTACTTCGTCTGCCAGTGTACGGCGTGTGTGGCCGACCTGCCCACGTACCCCGACATCCCCAGCGGGCCGCCGCGGCCCGTCTGCCGCACGTGCGGCGGAGAGGTCGCCACGTGTGGTCACGTGGCGGACGTGGCGGCGTACACGGCTGACGTGGCACGTGCGGCGGGTCAGCTGGAGGAGGCGGTGGCCGAGGTTCTGCACGGCGAGGCCAGTGCAGAGGTCAGGGGCCGGGTCGGTCGGCTGGTGACCCTCCTGGACAAACGCGTGGCGCTGCCCTGGAGAGGCCTGAATGATGCGCAGGAGGTGTTCAAGATGTGCTATCTGGTCGATGGCGATGTGAGTCCTGGTGCTGAGGGCACTGATTGCTAAACGCAGAGTCATAGTTGTGATATGTTACCCAAGTTGTGTTGTTGACGTTTGCTAGGCGCTTCGTTAGAGCTAAACATACGGATGCTGCATTAGTCAGTTTGTGATGACTGATGAATATGGCTGTCTTTCTAACCCTTGTTGTAATTATTACCGTTATTAGGTTCATTACCTACCTACGTGTTATCATGATGTGAAATATATCTTCACTGAACAAATGCGATAGTTTTCATGGCATTACCTACAGCGAACATTTATGCTTATTAGCATCTCAGTTGTGCATTTACGGGACCTAAGTGCCAAGAAACCTGCAATATCAACAACACACAGATTACAAGACATGATTAGCATAGCAGCTCAAGTCTAAACCATATTCACCTGCTTCTTGAGAATCAGGCGAACGCGATTAAAACTTTCTCCATATCACGCCAAATCCAGGCCTCACTCCGTCGCTCACCCAGTAACGACTCAGAGTGCATAGAACGGGACCTTCCAGCCACCTTTTCCTCCCGGTATCGAACAGAGCGGCTTTATGCCGCCGCTGCTGGGTCACGAAGTTCGTGATTCACGATAATGGGTGTCGAAGGTGGAGGGCGGCTGATTAAAGGCCAAACCAGTCGGCACCTTTCAGTTTCGGCTTTCTCATGTTTATCGTTTAATCTTGTCCAAAAATCATTTTGCTATTAAAACACGGATTGTAATGTCAAGCAGGTTATTTGTTGATAGAAGGTGGCGTGCAAGGCCAAAATTTTTTATTAGGATAAATTGGATGTTTTATAAAAGCCATGACATCCTCTCTGGGGATGATGAAAAAATGAGTTATTTAACCCTTAGACGCTTATATGCATGCATTGATGACTTCTCTTAAGCTTTTCGGCACTGGTCCTGGATCGGCACTGATCATGTGAATACCTGTTTACTCATTGATACAGGAAGCACCCTATCCACCCGTTCCGCCGTCGGTATGAGTCACCGTCGTCAGCAGCAGCGCGGAGCGCGCCCTGTAGTGAGTAGCCGTGTTCGCGCGCGCCTCTGGAACGGCCCACCATTGGCCCACCTTGTCCCAGTTTCCAGCCGTCAGTCAAGGGCGCCTCACCGCAGCCGCGACTGTTCGGTGAGCTGCGCTGTCGGCCTCTTTTGTTTTACTGCCTTTGAATGAATCATCTTTAGAGGCATGCATTTCGTAAATTCTTAGAAGCTAATGGAGACATTCATAGAAATGATCCGTAGCAAACCGCGCATGTTATGCGTAATCGGGTAAAAAATTAAATAGTCGAAACCAATTTCACTGAAAAGATCGTCTGCTGAGGTGATGCTGTACATATGTTTACTGTTGCTAAGTGATTAGAAATCTTTCATAAAATGGAAACAACCTCGTTTGCCAATGTATCGGTCGTTGATTGGAAAATAACTATTCCACGGTATTCCATGAGTGGCACCTAGTCCTGACCTTTCCTACAATGATTCGGCTGATCGCTAATCGATTGTGAAGTTTGGGCCACCCTGGTAATCAGTTGCGGTTGTTGAGCTCTATTGATATTTGATGCTAGTGTGGCTTGTGAAATTCGTCTTGTTTTTAGCAAAATGCTGGGCACATGATCGATATTCTGCGCAGGAACGCTAACGAATGGGTGAGTTTACTGTCACTCGTAAAGCAACTGATGCGTAGAAGTTTCATTATTGCATCCTATCCTCCCAAAGAATGCACCCAAAACAAGTGCAACCTCGGCACCAAGCTACCTGAAGTGATTACCTTCAGTAAAATATACCTCTGCTGCTTGTTTTCTGAGCGTGTTTTGATTGACCTACGGCTATATCCGAGCTCTATGACCGAGTTCTCAGTCCAATATCAGTAGCGGGAGGCCACAACCGACTTACTGAATACCCACCATGCCCGAAACCATTGATCGTATGGTGCCACTAACCACGGTAGGTGATATTCAAATGATTTGGCTCGAGACTGGTGGACATGACCGATATCAGAATTGAAGGCGAAGGCTAGATATGCTCTGAAATCAAATTAGCTTGTGTGCTCGCAGTCATCCATAATGGTTTGAACTTTTTTGTTAGGAGAGAAACGTATTCATTCATTACTAAAATTGGCATGGGATGAGACCGTTAGCTATCACATAATATTTCACCCACTGACGGAAATAGAGGAACTCAGCCACTCCGTGCTCGCGTATGTAACTTTCCTACACGATTGCGTGCTGGTCATCTCAGCCTGTCGGAAAGGCGCCTATACATACATATCTCCGCTCCGTCGCCGCTGCAGCCAGCCGGCAGTAGGAGTGGTATCAGGATTAGGAGTGTAGGTGGGGGAGTGGGAGTGGCGCTGGGAGAGTTGCCCAACTCTGAGTCACTCGGGCGGAGCCGCACTGACCACAGAGGCTGGCAGCTGGCCGAAACCGCCGACCGACCACAGCAGACGGCCGGCCGGCCGGGCGACTCAGCGGACAGTGACTCCACCGGTGCCGTCAGTGGCTGTTTGGCTGAGTCAGGACAGCATCACCGGCGGAGGAACAGCGTCACACATAACTAGCACGGGGGACTTGCGATAATGTGTTGTATGTTTGCATTTACCTGTTTGTACCATTTACCTGATACCATTGTTTACATTTGCAGTTTGTATGATTTAATTGTATTGCTGGGACGAACAGGAATAATTTATCGTCAAACTCCCACTTTGCAATCAAACGTTATTCGTCGGATACCCCGGTGACCTTTTTCCTCTCTATCGTGTGGTTAATCCAATGTCGGGAAAAGGTGTGTCCTCTGATCTCCCGCGTCGCTCTCTCTCTCTCCTCCTCCTCCTCTCCTCTCTCTCTCTCTCTCTCTCTCTCTCTCTCCCTCTTTCACCTGTGAGTCAGCGGCAGACTAACCGGTGAACGCCCTTATCTCAAGACGGCGGCAGGTCACCGCCTGCTGACCGGACCGTGAACCCAGCCCAGCCTCTGTGCTGACCGGGCCCTGAACCCAGCCCAGATACTGTACTGACCGAGCCCTGAACCCAGCCCAGCCTCTGAACAGGCCGCCGCTCCCCAGTGAAAGGAGCCTAGCTGAAGGGAACAGAAGTACAGCACCTGTGTGTCATCTGCCCTGCCCAGTCCATGCATAAGACACCACAATGGTGGGCGATCCACAGCGCCAGAAATATGGTTATAGGCTGAGGGTTACGACGTCGTAACTAGTTACGTTTGGCTGATTTGCAGCTGTCACAATCATACGATCATGCAATGTGCGGTTTTGAAATGAGCTTGCATGTCTGATTTCGATTAGATTATGCATGAGTCACATTTGATTGCAATATGCTGCAATATGGTCAGAAGTGCACTTGTGGCATACTTGCGCTCCAGCACATGTTGCGATCTGGTTTAGGGCTTTGCAAAGACTCATATGATAAGAGCATTGTTATCGGGATTCTGATAAACGTATCACTTTGATCTCTGAAATGGAAAATATGTATCGCGAGAAGAATATCTAATCTTAGGAATTGGGTATTTAGTATTTATTGAGAACTTGATCAAACTTCATGACAGCAATTAAAATGGAAAAAATGACAAAAATGTTGCTGTTATTAAGCTTATAGCCAGGACACATTCATTCATTCGTTCATTCATTCATTCATTCATTCATTCATTCAGTTTATTCAACGACATCCTCAACTCAACCGAGGTTTTTCAGACGTCACGTCACAGTTGAAAAATTGTAGAAGTATCTCTATTGTAAAATGAAAAAGTATGTATATATAAAAAGGATAAAAGACAAATACACAGCTAAAAGACAAACATCACTCATCGCCCAGTGCAGCCATCAAAGCACGCTTAAAACCAGCCATGGTTACAGCGCCCCACACTTCACTCGGTAAGTTATTGAACTTCCGTAGTCCAACATTTGATAAGCGTTGCTCGCCCGCGCAGGTTCTGGCACGGGATCCACCAATCTGTCGGCGTACCTTGTGCCATGCTCGTGGTCAACACCAACGAACAGCGACCTCAACTCCCGCGGTTCCCCAGTCGCAAGTATACGGCGCTCTTCAAAGCCATTAACAAACTCATTCTAAACTTCTGCAAAACTGTCAACAGGAGGAGAAGCGAGATTACAAAGGATTGAGAAGCTTAGAAAATAACTATTTTAGGCGCCGAAGCTGTCTCTTACATTTGATGCATTGGTTAACGATCATCTGTCAACGTTCGTGACTGCATAATTAGACTGAGGTTAATAGAGAAGGGAGGAAAAATCACTCGACACTCGATTCTCTTCATAAGAGAATACACCTGAAAAACGACGCCTTAGTCAACATTCTCTGCAGATTAGGACCACTTTCATTCACTTCCGTTATAACAGACAGCTGGGAGATTCGCCACGGTAAACACCAGTGACATCAAGTCTGTTCAACTCGTCCCCTTCGTCACTGCACTACATCACCACTGCCGTCACTACAGTGCCTCGTCACCACCGTCAAATCACCAGCGCCACCTCAGCTCCGTCTACCTACCACCACCGCCACCGTCGGTGTTGGGGAGGGGCGGGGGGTTGGGGGCGGTGGCGGCTGCCCGGGCACCCCGGCGGCCGCTCAGCCGTGTTTGGAACGCCGCGGGTGTAGCACGGTGCGGTGGAGGGTGCCGTGTTTGGCCGTCCAGGAGATACCGAGAGGTGTGGAGAACGCACAGGAGAGTGGAGGAGGACAGTGGATTGGAAGACAGCAGACAGGGTGGCCAGCACAGGTGAGTGAAGCGGAACGGTGCTGTTAAACGTCCTTACGAAAAAGCCAAAGATTACAGATAGCATATCAATAAACTTCCAATACACATATTTTTTAGCATCACCATATGGGGACGATGGAGCCGTTGGAGCGCCAATGCATTATATGTAGTTCTGGTCTACTGTGTCGCGGTAATCGATATGGCCCACAGGCCACATTCCATGAGTCATAACAGCTGTAACGATTGTGTACAATACAGCAGCATGCAAAATGAATGGAAGAATGTCCCCAAAGAGACGGTTCTGTTTTCAAAGTCGCAATGGCAATGACACAGGGATGCACAGGGCGATAGATATTTAAGCATTTCTCCGTAAATGCAAACGATCCTGCGTTATAGTGTTGGGTGACATTTATTTAAAGCAGCTTCAGTTATGAGTTGTGTCTCTGGATAAAAAGGAAATGATAAAGTGTGCAGCAGTTCAAGGATAACTTTGATTCTACATCCCATAA